TAGATCTGGCTGGAGGGTAAGTGTGCACCCACCACCACCACAAAACAAAGCAAAACAAAAAACCCACCCTTTTCAAACTTCACCTCTGAGGCCATGAGTAACCTTTAAAAGAAAACCTTGACATCAAATGTTAAATAGACTATTCACTATTGTCCTATGGGGCTTAGTTAGTTTTTGTTTTGAAGGGGAAACAGTCGAAGTGAATGAATTCAATATTAAAAGAAACCATCTTGTATAACTGAATTGTTAACAGGCTTTTTTGTTTCTATAAAGGTGTTTCTTAACAGTAACCAAAATATACCTGTCATTTCAAAAGACCATATACATTTTTTCTTTTAATTTGTTTTTTTTTATTTGTTTCAGAGTTTATTCCAATATGATTCCATTTGCTGCAGGAAATTTGTAGCAATCTACATAGGCTATTTGGAGATGGACTACTCTTTGCTTTTGGGGGGTTTTAGTTAAAAGGACAATGACTATTGTAAGTAATGTTTTCCGTATGAGAAATTCAAGCAATACAGTTATCAAGTAAAATAAAATCTTTTCTACCAGTTTATAATTGGGGTTTCATTTATGTAATATTTCCCTACCACCACCAAACAATCTTAATGGTCCCTGTCAGTACATTTAGATGAACATCATCCTTTGCCGCATTTTTCACCAGTCCATTGTGTGGCCTGTACCCTACTTTGCATGCTTGACTGTCTCACGTGGAATAGCTAGGTCAGAGGATCCACACGTTACAATGAGATCTCTTCAGACAGGGTAGGTGAGGATGTGTGTTTAGACAAGGATCATCTCACAGAGTGAGCTAGATGTGTAACATTACATTATATCGTATAAGATTCTGAAGGACTTCCTTGCCAGGGGAAAGGCAGCTAACCTCAGAATGGGCAGCTGGTATTATCCCCAGGATTCTAGCATCTGTGGTTACTGGTTAGCATTTCCTCAATCTGCCCTCTTTTGTAGGGTTTTTGCTCTGGCTGTTTTTTGAAGAAAGAATCTTTGTCCTTGGCATTCTGTGGTTTCACCACAATTAGGTGCAAATATGTTTTTGTTTATTCCGTTTAGAATTTACTGTATTTTTTCCAATGTGAGAACATGTCTTCAAAGCTAACAAATTCTTGGCCATTATTTCTGTGAATGCCTTTCTCACATTCTCTTGCTCTTTCCATCAGGAAATCCTCTGGTCCCTTCATTGCTCTAGCACTCCACTGTCTTCTGCTTGCTATTCTGATTGCTTGCTTCTGGGCCACTGTTTCACGTATTCACACTTGACTATTGGTTTCAGCAAAATCTTGTGAAGTAGGTGAAGCAATGTGGGACTAGGACTGAGTTAGGAATCTAAATGTTCATTCCCTTCCGCGGTGTTTAAAACTGCTGTGAAGGATGAGCAGGGTATTAGAGGTGTGGTGCCCGGGGACAGGAGCATGGCATTATCTGTGGTAGATTGGCTAAACAAGTCCTCTCAGTGGCAATGGCATTTGATCAGAAACACCAATAAAGTAAGAGAGGGTGCAACACGAGTTTCTGAGAGTACCGTATTCCAGAAACAGGAACCAGCAAGACCAAAGCCCTGGCGGAAGCCCATGAGCAGCTTCATGGGGGAAGGAGGACAGCTGGAACTTCCAGAACGAGGAAGAGCCAGGGCAGGTAGAGTGAAGGGTGTGCTAGTTAGCCAGGGGCCATGTGGTGACGAATTTTGAGCAGGAGTGGCTGATGCGGTTTACCTTGTACACGGTCACTCTGCTAGGTAGAGAAAAGACTACGTACGGGGTAGGTGGTGCAGGCAGCACAGACAGTCTGCAGTGTTGTTGGCTGCTGTCAATTCTGCCCCGACCCATAGCCATGCCGTGTCCAATAGAACAAAATGTTGCCTCCTCCTGCACCATCATGCCGTGCTGGGCTGCAGACTGTTGTGATCCTTAGGGTTTTCCTTGGCTGGTTTTTGAAAAGAAGTCACCAAGCCATTCTTTCTCATTTCTGTTTGTCTCAAAGCTCTGCTGAAATCTGGTCAGCATCATAGCAGCACGCACCTCCAATGACAGGTGCTGACTGCACATGACACATACAGGAATTGAACCCTGGGATCTTGTGTGAAATGTGAGTGCTGCCTCTGTACCTTCACTTAGCCCTCTTTGCAGGAGTAGCCTAGATGAGTTGTGATGGTGGCTTAGACCAGGGCACCTACAAAGGTGGAGAAAAGTGGTCAGCATCAGAACTATTTTGCAGAAAGGACCAACAAGACTTGCTGGGGGAAGGGGGTGGTCTAATAACAAATAGACTGAGAACTGATCATTGGATTGGACAGTCTAGAGGATTTGGGCAACCTTGATAAGTGCAATGTGAGTGGCAAAGGCTGTGAAAGAAAGCCAGATTGGATTAGGATTAAAAGAGGTGCTGAGGAAGGAAGTGAAGACATGTATAAACAATTCGAAGCTGATTTAGAGACTTAATTTAAGGATGTGGGCAGAGGACTCGGCTGATAGCTGGAGCAGGCTGTGGAATTGGGAGGGTTTTTTAGATGAGCAATATTGTATCTTGGTTTTCTTCCCTTAAGTTATTATTTAGTATTACTTACTAATTTCCAGTTCTGCAACCCTTTTCTCCTGTAGCCTATATATAGCTACTTCGAGTGCTAAAATTTGTTGAGTTTGAGAGAGAGAAGAGTGTGTGAGTGAGTGAGTGTGTGTGTGTAGGAGGTATGTGAAAGAGACAGACACATAGAACAAGAGCAGTTAGCAGCCAGATACTTAACCTGCTGCAGCCACCTGGGTTCCTTGAAGTCACACAGGGAAAAGAAATAACATGTAGTTAATTGAAGATAAAAAGCTATAGAGGTGATCTATACATTTTATTATATATACTCTAAGACAGCTTTCATTCTATTGAGGACTCGAGAGTTTTATCATAACTTAGTCTACTGAATATATGTATGTGGATATATTAAAATAGCTGCTTTTATGCTGAAGACGCTCTACAAAGTGCCAAGTCTACAGCAATGAGCAAGAGAGGCTACTCTGTGCATTCGTGGAGCTGAGATGACCATCCGTAGTTTCTCTAAGGCTCAAAGATAAGCAAGAAATGTTAGAAATTAGATAATATTTACGTTAAAAGTACGTATATCTTGTTTACATCCCAAAGGGACTTTCAAGATGAAATGTGATTACCTTTGGATTGTTAGAAATAAAAATAGCACAGTAATTCTCAACTTCAGTGTTGCAAAACCACATACCCACGCCAATGACTTCTCGAGGGTTAGGACACACTCATTAGTGTATTAAATGCTGATTTAATAGAAGCAAAGGGAGTAAAATGCTACTGAGCTGCTGAGAATGAGTCGTTATTCTGTTAGGATTAAATATATCTGAAAGTTAAGATAAAATACCAGTGATTAGGTTGTAGATCATTACATTTTAGACAAAGTATGCGAAATAATTTGTAGAGGGATACATTTTCAGGATCCAAATTAAGAATTTTTTTTAATCGTTTTATTAGGGGCTCATACAAGTCTTATCCCAATCCATACATACATCAATTGTGTAAAGCACATTTGTACATTCATTGCCCTCATCATCCTCAAAACATTTGCTCTCCACTTAAGCCCCTGGCATCAGGTCCTCATTTTTCCCCTGCCTCCCTGCTCCCCTCTCCCTCATGAGCCCTTGATAATTTATAATTTATTATTTTGTCATATCTTGTCCTGTCCAACATCTCTCTTCACCCACTTTTCTGTTGTCCGTCCCCCAGGGAAGAGGTCACATGTAGATCCTTGTAATCGGTTCCCTTTCCAATCCCCTCTCCCTCTACCCTCCCAGTATCGCCACTCACACCAGTGGTCCTGAAGGGATCATCCACCCTGGATTCCCTGTGTTTCCCGTTCCTATCTGTACCGGTGTACATCCTCTGGTCTAGCTAGATTTGCAAGGTAGAATTCGGATCATGATAGTGGGGGCGGGGGGGAATGAGCATTTAGGAGCTAGAGAAAAGTTTCATTTTTCATCGTTGCTACATCGCACCCTGACTGGCTCGTCTCCTCCCCGAGACCCCTCTGCAAGGGGATCTCCAGTGGCCTACAAATGGGCCTTGGGTCTCCACTCCGCATCCCCCCCCCCATCATTCACTATGGTAAGATTTTTTTGTTCTGATGATGCCTTATACCTGATCCCTTTGACACCTCGTGATTGCACAGGCGGGTGTGCTTCTTCCATGTGGGCTTTGTTGCTTCTGAGCTAGATGGCCGCTTGTTTACCTTCAAGCCTTTAAGACCCCAGACGCTATACCTTTTGATAGCCAGGTACCATCAGCTTTCTTTGCCACATTTGCTTATGCACCCATTTGTCTTCAGCGATCTTATCATGGAGGTGCGCACACAATGATATGATTTTTGTTCTTTGATGCCTGATAACTGATCCCTTTGGCACTCCTGATCACACAGGCTGATGTGTTCTTCCATGTGGGCTTTGTTGCTTCTGAGCTAGATGGCCGCTTGTTTATCTTCAAGCTTTTATGACCCCAGATGCTATATCTTTTGATAGCCGGGCACCATCAGCTTTCTTCACCACATTTGCTTATTCACCCCCTTTGTCTTCAACAGTTGTGTCGGGAAGGTGAGCGTCATAGAATGCCACCAAATTAAGAATTTTAAGTAAAGCAAATAGAAGTACTTGCTTCAAACTGCCCACTAATCTTTTTTTCCCCAAACAGAGTTTTCCTTCTCCCATTAAAAGAAGGCAGGAAGCCCACCTGGGCAATAATTGCGGTGTCGGGTTGCCTTCTGGCAGAGCCGTTGCAGAACTTTCAGGCATGTAGGAATTGAAATAAAATATTGCAGTCATGAGGTACAAACTGGACATTGGAAAGAATTAAGAGACCTAAATATTTTTAATTTATATTCTATAATAGGTGTTCAGCCACCTACCCTTTTATATTGAAATTTTTGATACACAACAATATTTATGCTATAATCAATTCTCATTAATTTTTTTTTCCTTTTACAGAAAATGCTTGGACAGAAGAGATGAGTCCTATTTCCCCTCAGGCCTAGAATTGCCTACTGTACAATAGTCCTGATCAGGCAATACACGAATGGCCCAAGGAAGCCACCAAATTGATTTTCAGGTTTTACATGACCTGCGGCAAAAATTCCCTGAAGTACCTGAAGTTGTTGTATCCAGGTGCATGTTACAGGTCAGTGCTTAATGATTTCTGGATTTATTAATATGAACCAGCATTTGTCTTACACACTGGAAGAAAACTTTTCTGTTACCTTTTTGTAGGAATTAAGTGTGCTATAATGAGGTGGGTTTGAGTGCCCCAGCCAAGGTGCTTCTGGCAGGTTTGTTGAGGCAGCCTGTACTTTGTCTTTCTTCATGACTCACACCTCCTCAGAGAGGATACCTGAGGCTTAAATGAGATCCAAGTGCAAGGTGTTGATGTCTGGTCCCTACTAGCTTTGCGCTCACTTAACATCACTTCTCAAAACCTCCTGTTTTGCTGGGAGAACTTGTTAACATTTTAACTCTTTATAAAAAGTGAGGAAGATGTTAAATAGTAAGTCAGGAAACTTGTGTTTGAATCCTAAAACAAATACTTCACATATGTTCAGCAAGTCTTAGACCCTCTTGATACTTTAATCTTAAGTATAAAAATGAACGAGTTTGACTAGACAGTCTGTTCTTATCTTGTGTATTGAATTTGTAACTTTTCTCATAAATACCAGTAAGCTTTTGATCATTGTTAACAGTGTTCAGGAGATACAGCATTTTGGAGCCCCACTGATTTTAAAGACTTGGTGGGTGATTGATTAGTTGTGTCTTCTCATCTCATTAATCTCAAAATTTTTCTAACAAAAAACTTTTCTAGCTCATTGAAATAGAATTATAAAAATATTTGGGGTCAGCCCAACATTTTTACTCTTGACAGATGAGTTTTGAAGTTTAAAATTGTCTTAAATTTCCAAGCAGTTCAATTGCAACATTGCTACCAAGTGACTATATTTTGTTCACATTCTTATTATCCTTATATGGCCTTTTAATTGATCTGACTCACCCAGTTTTGCTTGCTTGGATTTATCTACCTCCCTTCTGCCCAAGTGTCTCTCTAAATGCATATGTTCTTAATACTCCCTATCCTTCAGGACCGGGAAGTGAATGAGGTGAGTGAGTGAGTGAGTGAGTGAGTGAGTGAGTGAGTGAGTGAGTGAGTTGTACTTTTGTTTCAGACTGACTAGATGGCACCTAGAAGCAACAATATGCCCCTCAGACGACAGTCCATATGTCTTGGCAAGGGCTGTGACCTGGAATCTCATCACATTGTACAGCCTGATCTCTTGCTCAGTCCCCTCTGCACGTAGTCAACCTGAACTACTGGCATCCTACAAGCATGCCTGGCTCTTTGTAGCCCTGTGGCCAAGAGTTTTGGTAACAAAATGTAACAATTATCAGCAATGATTTAATTAGTTTCTCTGACCCTGAATTTCTTCAACTGTTTAACGCGAACAAAAAAAATTCACAGACCATTCAACATGCTTTCGCCTGTAAAGCCGTCAGTGGGGGACCTGACTCGTGAGAAGTGCTCTGGGACCGTCAGCAGCAGGACTAAGAGCAGTAGGCTCTTAGTAACGCAGGAAGGTCCATGTAAGCACCGGGGGAATGCATCAACAGCCATAGTGGTCAGAATAGGATGTGAGAGGGGAGGAGGGAAAGGTTAACAACAATGGAGTCGGAGGTTAAAGTATGGGGAAGGAGCAGACATAGTAGGGCAAAGATCACCTCCCCTAAAGCCCTAATTTTTCAAGTTAAGTCTAATTCTGTGGTAAAATAAAGCTGGGCTGAGAGTTTAGTGAATCATAGGAAAACTAGTAAGAAAATACTATTGATTCGTGAGTAAAATTTCTAAGATTGGACAGTGGAAAAACTGCCCAGAAGATTGTCCTTATAGCTGTGCCACAGAGATTGAGTCTTTTCTAGAGTTATTGAAAATCTTTTTAAGACCAGAACAAGCTTATCTGAGCTCACAGAGTACACATTCTACAGGACATGCTAAAGAGATAGGATGTAGGCAGCAGATAGAGAAGCGGGAGGGGGGAATAAATACAAACACATGTATTTCCACCTTTTGCATGATAGAATGGTAGAAAGACTAAAAATACATTTAATGAAGGTGGCTACTGATAGTAGGCAAGAGAGACCCAGCCTGATGGGGACCCAAACCCAAACCCACTGCCATCTTGTTGATTGCAACTCATTTGACCCGCTTTAGGGATTCCAAGGCTGTACATCTTGATGGGAACAAATCACCTCATCTTTCTCTCACAGAGTGGCTATTAGATTAGAACCACTGACTTTGTAGTCAGTACAGTGTAAAATATAAAATTATATTTTACTGTTTAAGAAATCAGCATGCTTTTTAACTTTATACCACCACAACCCCACCAAAAAAATTAAAGAGCAAATTGTTCATTTTAAATTTCCTTTGAGCCCCTTAAGAAGCCCTGATGACCCTGGGCTTTTGGGCTGCTAACCACAAGACCACCAGTTCAAATCCACCTGCTGCTCATTTTCTGGGAAAAAGATGTCTGCTCTTGGCAACCCTGAATAGGGTTGTTGTGGGTTGGAATGAAATCAAGGTTCATGGTTTTGGTTTCTGGGGCACCTAGTAGTCCTACCCTCGCTATATTAATCTGACTTTCCCCACACAAGCCCCCTGTGATGCACATGACAAAATGAAGTTGATTTGTTTGCAAATGACCCATGAGAGCCTACAGTCTTTTCATTTGAGTTCATACTCATCTGGCTTCCTAGTAAAGTGCTTTTCAGCTGATAGAACAAGACGTAAGTCAGATGAATACAACTCAGGTGGATCTCAAACTTGGGATAATATTTATTTTTCAATTGTCACATGCATATAGATCACACAGCCTTGACCAGTTCATTCTTTCCTGTGTATATAATTCAGCAACCCTACATCAGTCATATTGTGAGACCATCTCCAGTCTCCACTGTATCGATTGCCAGATGCTCCATCACCATGTACATACAGCTCAGTATTCCCTATAAAGGTGTATGAAGCTTTCTCTTATTGCAGTTTAAGCATCTGTTTCTGTAGTAACAGCCTTGCTCTGGGGAACCTGCTCTCCTTTTTCAGTTGGGTGGGCTTCTATCCTTTTCTTGAGGTTCTCCCTGTAATGTACTGGTCCAGAACTACTTCTAGCTGCAGTACAAAGAATTAGAATTCTGTAGGCATGCCACAGTGCCCTCTCAATCTGCCTCATCTCCTTCCGAGACAGCTTGCTTTTTAGAGAACAGCAGTGCCGTCCTCTCCTATTCCCTTCTTGACTACTCCCTTCATAAAACCCTCACTCTGGAAGTGCTTACTACTCTTACTTCCTGGGTTGTAGATGTATTTATATAATTGATCATTAAACCTCAACTACAACCAAAAATATTCCAAACTCAACTGCCATCAAGGTGATTCCGACTTACAGCTTACCCTATAGAACAGTGTAGAACTACCCCAGTGGGTTTCCAACACTGTAAATACTCTATAGGAGTAGAAAGTCTCATCTTTATTCCACAGAGCTCCTGGTGGTTTCAAACTCCTGACCTTGGGGTTAGCAGCCCGACATGGAACCACTACACCATCAGAGCCCCAATTTTAACTTAGGACAATGGAAATATTGTGTAGCTGTCATTTTGATTTTTTTTTTCATTGAAGTTAATTTTGTCACTTTTCAGTTTTTAAATTTATCATTTAGCCTGTTAAGTTTAAATTTTACTCTTTATATATCTTTTCAGGATAATGTGTTAAGCAGTTGGTATTTGTGAAGCTTGGTATTTAAATACCAGCACTGTAGTTGAAGCTTTCTCATAGGGCCTTCATCCAAATCCTTTTATTTGTTTCTGTGATGACACCCAGGAGTCCCTGAGTGGCACAGATACTTAAGTGCTGAACTAATGCTAAAAGGTTGGCAGTTCAGCTCCACCTTGAACCTTAGATGGGCCCGGCGCTCTACTTCCCAAAGGTCCCGGCTGGAAGCTCTGTGGGGCAGCCTTGAGGACTCCGTGAATTAGAATCAGCGTGACAGCCACAGCCTGGCCCCTGCCATTCTGTTCTACTTTACTCATGTGCAAGTGGGTCTCCTCCAGGTGACTGAGATCGAAAGCAGGGAATGTCTTGCTTTTCTCCTTGTCTTGGGGCTCCTCTGTTGGTGAGAGGAGTAGATGAAACGGGGCTGGAGAAGGCTGAGCACAGGTTCATCTCTGGGGCTGTGCAAGGAGCTTGGGGGGCTTAAAAGGAGGAACTGCAATGATACTACCACAGTGTTGCTGCTCTGGAGAGAAGGCTGGTTTGTGATGATGCTCCAGGAAAAAAAGAACTTCGCCACCTTTTCCAAAAAGCGTGTCCACCTCCCTCTGATTCATTTAAAGGGGCATCTCAGAGTAGCGTTTCCTACAACAAGTAACCAGGGCTCCTTGGAGAAGTGGCTGGCATCCGGTCTAAGGTAGGAAATGGACAAGATGAGCTTAGGCAGATTTGTCAAGATTAGAAAGCAAGGAAGCTGTGGGAGACTGGTCGGCTCCTGTCCTTTGTACATAGGACCTGCCCAGAGTAGTGAGGTGGCAATGAAAATCCTCACGTGGGCGAAGCCACCAGCAGCTGCACCCACCAATGAGCCGTAATTTAGAGACCTCCTTGGGCAATACTCGCAGACTTAAAGTTGGCTTGTAACTTAGGAGCCCAGTACTTTTAAAAGGAGTGTGTGTGGGACTGGGTCTGAGGGGGAAATCTTTTTGATTTGCCTTTGTTGACAGCGAGATTAGAGGAAGACCGAGTTCCTGTGAGTTATGGCTAGAAAGGGAAAATAATTTACTAAGATTACCAATAAAGTTAGCCTGAAGCAAAAAAGCAGTAATTCCTCAATTCTGATTTAGCAAAAGGTGAGGCTACCTCTATTGGGCCATTGAAAAGGATTGTGATCAGTTTTCAATCTCCTTACCAAAGCTAGGATGTGTCCGGCAGAGTTGTTAGCAGACAGAGGGGTAGACTCAGGCACTGGATTGTGTTTTGGTTTTGGTTTTGATAGGAGGAGTTTTATAGCATGAAATAATTAAATTGTTGGTTATTCACAGTCAGGCTGTACTCCCTAATGCTTTCTTTGGTGGCACCTGTACGAAGATGCCATTTCGTCACAATTGTTTCTAGGAGATTTGATCTCCTTGCATACTGACATACTGGCTTGGTTACTGGTTTCAGATGTTTAATACTGGCCTCTTTCGGCCAGGCTCCTCATCTCCAGGTCCTCTCTGAATTCCTCTCTCGTGACCAGATTGGGCGGATACGTCTGTAATCTATGACCTCTGTTGAACACTCATTGTTGTGTGTCTTTCCTACTGGGCCTTCTTACCAAAAAGGGGTTTTCCCTTCCCTAGTCAACAGACATCCCCCTCCTCAAAAAAAAAACAAAACACTTTATTTCTCTCATCTAGGGGTGCCCCCCACTGCCTGGAATAAAGTCTAAACTCTATTGTGACCCAGGTTTCAAACTTCCCCATTATTTAATCTCAGTCTGTTTTTCACCGAATTTTCAAGGTGAATCTTTAACTTCAGCCCCGTCTACTCCATTCACCTTGTTTGAAACATGCTTTTTCTTCTCTGTACTCATGCCATTTCCTTCACCAGCAATTCTTATTTTTCCTTTATGAGCACAAATCTTGCATGCCATACCTCCCTCGCTAACCCAGGCCTTTCCACAGGGACCTAAAGTATTGGCGTTCTTGCTATACTCATATCTTGATCGTATTACCTTCTCAAGAATGCATGGCTTGTCTTCCCGCTTACACGTCACACTTTTCTAAGGGAAATTACACCTTGTATGTCATCAAGTCTTCTGTGCCTCAAGCAGGGTACTGCCCCTATTATAAGGGCCCAGGAAATGATTTTATTGGATGACCTGCGGTCTCTTTTGACAGCTCTTTAAAGGCAGGCTGGTGTTTCTTTTCTTCCGAGTAGATTTGCATGGCATGATCTAAAAGCAAGAGATGTGAACTAAAGGACACTGGACTTCCACTATTACAGTACTAAATATTACAAAGGTAATTTTTGAAGAGATCACAACTTTAAAAGGATTCATATAGCACTTGACTGTTGACTGTTTTCTTGCAGGTACTTCTACAACAGTGGTTCTCAACCATCCTAATGCCGTGACCCTTTAATACAGTTCCTCATGTTGTGGTGACCTCCCAACCATAAAATTATTTTCATTGCCGCTTCATAACTGTAATTTTGCTACTGTTGTGAATCAGGCGACCCCTGTAAAAGGGCCCTTCGACACACACACACACACACCCAAAGGGGTCGCGACCCACAAATTGAGAACCACTGTCCTAAAACTTTAAGTCTATCACTAACTTAAAAAAAAAATGTTTGCTCTTAGTGATAAGTACTCAAGTAGATGCTTAAACTTAGATAGCTATCCTTTTACTTAAAAATGGTCCCTAGCAAGACTGTTTGTTTCACTCATTATCTCTAGTAGAGAACTCTTCCATTGCTAGTGAGAATTTCTGATTCAACCATTTGCATAAAGATAGTTCCTTCCAAATAAAAAGGTTTAAATACATCTCTTAGAATTATAATAATCCATCCCTTGTTTGATTGCTTAATTCCTTCGTAGTGGTCACAAGGTAAGCATTGTCTTCTGATTAACCTCATGCTGCTTTGGTTTTGTCTTCTAGAATAACAACAACTTGGATGCCTGCTGTGCAGTTCTCTCTCAGGAGAGTACAAGGTATCTTTATGGTGAAGGAGACTTGAATTTTTCGGATGATTCTGGAATTTCTGGTCTACGCAATCACATGACTTCTCTCAACTTGGACCTGCAGTCCCAGAATGTGTACCACCATGGGAGAGAAGGAAATCGAATGAATGGAAGTCGGACTCTAACACACAGCATCAGTGATGGACAACTTCAAGGTGGTCAGTCCCAAAATGAACTGTTTCAACAGGAGCCACAGACAGCCCCAGCTCATGTTCCTCAAGGCTTTAATGTCTTCGGAATGTCCAGCACATCTGGGGCCTCCAATTCAGCACCACATCTTGGATTTCACCTAGGCAGCAAAGGAGCATCCAACCTTTCGCAGCAAACTCCCAGATTTAATCCCATTATGGTAACGTTAGCCCCTAATATCCAGACTGGTCGTAATACTCCTACATCTTTGCACATCCATGGCGTACCTCCACCTGTCCTTAACAGTCCACAGGGAAATTCAATCTACATTAGGCCTTACATTACAACTCCTAGTGGTACCGCTCGACAGACCCAACAGCATTCTGGCTGGGTTTCTCAGTTTAACCCCATGAACCCTCAACAAGTCTATCCACCTTCACAGCCTGGTCCCTGGACTACGTATCCTACATCCAGTCCACTGTCACATACCTCAACCCAACAGCCCAATCAGCAAGGCCACCAGACCTCTCACGTCTACATGCCCATCAGCTCACCGACTACACCACAGCCACCAACAATTCATTCATCTGGTAGCTCACAGCCTTCTGCCCACAGCCAATACAACATTCAGAATATTTCAACAGGACCTCGGAAAAACCAGATTGAAATCAAACTTGAACCCCCGCAAAGAAACAATTCTTCAAAATTGCGTTCCTCGGGACCTCGAACCTCCAGCAGTTCCTCTTCGGTGAACAGCCAGACCTTAAACAGAACCCAGCCCACTGTTTACATAGCTGCCAGCCCCCCAAATACTGATGAGGTGATGTCCCGTAGCCAGCCCAAGGTCTATATTTCAGCCAATGCCACCGCAGGAGATGAACAGATCCTGCGGAACCAGCCCACACTCTTCATATCCACAAACCCTGGCGCATCTGCCTCCAGGACTATGTCTGGGCAAGTGAGCATGGGCCCTGCCTTTATTCATCACCACCCACCCAAGAGTCGAGCGATTGGCAACAACTCTGCAACTTCTCCTCGAGTGGTGGTCACTCAGCCCAACACAAAGTACACTTTCAAAATCACAGTTTCTCCCAATAAGCCCCCTGCCGTTTCCCCAGGGGTGGTGTCCCCTACCTTTGAACTAACAAACCTTCTGAACCATCCTGATCATTATGTAGAGCCAGAGAATATTCAGCACCTCACGGACCCTGCTTTAGCACATGTGGATAGAATAAGTGAAGCTCGGAAATTGAGCATGGGATCTGACGATGCTGCCTACACACAAGGTAACGCGATGACTAAAATGGGTGTGGCAGGTGGGCGGTGCGGGGCAGTGCTTTTCCAGGCTGGGATTATTTTCATGAACGTTTTGATTTCATGGCAGAAATTGGCATCAACAATGCTTCTTAGTTCATCTTTTAGTGATGCTTCAAAAAATATATAGCGCCAAGTAATGTTAGCCTTTAGAGCACTGGAGAGTATCCACAGAAATTTTTTATTAGAATTTTATTAGCATGTAACTTACGACTTGAATAATAAGAGTAATCAGATCTTCATAACGTGTGCGGGCTTTCTTGTCTTTCATCTGTAGTTATGCTGACCTTTTCTTTAAAACTGCTGCAAATAAAAATCCATATAAGCACACATTTTAATGAGAGATTGGTTGACTTATCAACTGATGCGCTAAATTGATCATCTTTAAAGAATTAGCAATGGATTCTTTTTTTTTATCTTAATAATATAGTTCCAAATTGAGATCTAAAATTGCTAAATGAGTCCTAGAATAACTTAACCCAAAGAGAACCTTGAGTCCTCTTCCTTCTTGAATTTTTTGTTGTCCATTAACAGCAGGCAATGTCGCATTCCTTTTCCATTGTAATTATTCATAAGAAAGTTGGGTTTTGATTATAAGGAACTATGTGTGACCTCCTCCCTGGGTAACAGACAACAGAAAAGTGGGTGAAGGTAGACATCGGAAAGGGCAAGATATGACAAAATAATAATTTATAAATTATCAAGGGCTCATGGGGGAGGGGGAGGAGGGGGAGTGGGGAGGGAGGGGAAAAATGAGGACCTAATGTCGGGGGCTTAAATGGAGAGGAAATGTTTTGAGAATGATAAGGGCAATGAATGTACAAATGTGCTTTACACAATTGATGTATGTATGGATTGTGATAAGAGTTGTATGAGCCCCTAATAAAACAATTGGGGGGAAAAAAAGAAAGAAAAGATAAGTGTTTAAGACATGGGGGAAAAAAGAAAGTTGGTTTTTCAGTCTGTCTCCATGGATTCTCATTTTCTGAAATAGACAGATTGACATTAGCACAGTGATACGTTGTCTGTTCATTCTGGTAGGTATAGTTTGTGTGCTGTATTTATCTAACTCCTTAAATAGAGACTCTTCAGCTGGAAGCTGTTCAGTGCCTTCAGCTCAGAATATGGCAGGCGTGTTTGTCTTCTTGAATGCTGATGGAAGTTTGTAATTGAGCCATGAGTCTTTTAAAATTAGAATATACTTTTGTCATGTTCGATTCCCTAATAAATTATTCTAAGTCTTGGTAGCTTGGAAAATACTGTAAGGTCACCCCTATTTGGCATGCACTTCTTTCTCATCCTCTTCCCCCCTTCCACCCCACCAACTAACTCCAATACCACCTGTCCTTTAAAAAAGGTTGAATGCAGAGCCTTCTCTGCTGAGTTTGTTAGAGGGGTCTTTTATATGCTCTAAACAGTTATGTTCTGGTGAGGCTCAGCCCAGGCTGGGCTCTGGTGCTCTCAAACTTAATAATCACCTATCATATAATTCCCACTCAGAGTCTCTGAACGGTGAGGTGTGTAGACTTGTTCACCTGCAGACGTGTGTTAAAAGATCCTGGAGAATCCCTGTGCACTAGACCTGTTAAATTCTATTGTCCCTATACCTGCAACAAACTGGAATCACCTTTGTTAGTTTCAACAGTGCATGAATTTTAATGAGTGATTATTTATTACACTGCTTTTTTTTTTAATTCTTTTTCTTCCAAGTCCTCTTCTCAGCGTCCCTCAAAATAGCACATTTCATATATTTAAATCGTTGCTAATTCTTAACTAGAGAGTACTTTTGTATGAAGATAATTTGATAAGGAAAATTTTCAAGTATGAGGCAGGCACAGAAATACTCAGACTTACCTGAAATAGGAGAATAAAATGTTGCTCTCCCATTTCTTGCCATTCTGTCTTGACTCTGAGCCTGTCAGAATCACACCCCTCCAGTAGACAGCCCTCGATGCTCTGACCCAAATCATCAGTGATGGAGTTGGTCCTAGATGGAGCAGGCATTCGTCAGCCTCATCTGTCCTGGTCTCAAGTAGCAGCATCTGACACAGTTGCTCGCCTTCTTTACTGTCAACATTCTAGAGCACACAGGATTTCCACTGTTCTTTCTTTATATGTGTGGGATTTTGTTTTGAAATTTTCATTGTGAATTAGGTAAAGGTTTATAGGGCAGATCATCAGTTTAACATTCAACAATTCTTACATGTTTTGTTTCAGCTCATTTCTTGCAACCCCTCGATATATCCCCCCTACCCCATCTTCCCTGTGTTTCCTGTCTGCATTTCTCTTTGGTTCCTATCTTTTCTGTTTTTCGTCCTTGGCGAGATGCTACCCTTTTGATCTTAATGGTTGATTTACTCTGAAGGTATGCAGACCTCTCTGGCGTACTGTTCTTCCTGCAGACCTGTTTATCACGCCACCGCAGGGGTGACTTCAGTTCCAAACCTGAAGGGTGACTGAGGCCCATAACCTTGGGGTCCCACTGATCTCTGTTCGACCCGTAGACCTGATCTCTTCTGATTCTGAGTTCTGTTCCACAGTTTTCTACCACTCAATCCCGGACCCTCTAATGTGAGCCTTACATAGTAGTTGGACACCAGGTAGTTCTTAAGGTCTCGGGCGGGATCATGGAGACAGATATTCCTTGCTTCTGTCTATTGGACCCATTGTTTTCATGTGTCTTTTGATAGTCATCATACTTCTCTCTTCTAGATGAGGAGATACCAGTATTTGCACCTTAGGTGGCCACTCATGAACTTTGAAGACCTCAGTTGCTACTCACCACAGTAGGTTGTAGACCATTGTTTTTGTGGACCCTGGTGTCCCCTGAGACTGGTACCCTCAGGCCCATTCCCTCATAACTGCCTGGTGTAGGCTCCACCCCATTCATGGATGTATTTGCAACAGGTAAATGCCCCTGTGTGCAATTTCCTCTGTCAGACCTAACATATGTTCTAGCTCTACCATTCCCTAAATCATCTCCCTGGAAGTCCTGGTGGCTCAGTAGTTGTTCCATGGGCTGCTAACCTACAGGAAGAAGAGAAGACTGTCTACTCGCATGAAGAGTGACAGCCTCGGAAACCTACAGGGTAGTTCTACCCTGCCCTGTAAGGGTGCTAGGAATTGACATGGGCTCAGTGGCAGTGAGAGGTGTTTTTGGTTTGCTGCCTCTTCACTGTCAGCATGCAGACCATGGAGCCAGTGGCATCACTTTAAATGGGACTTTGGACCCTTGTGGTTACTGCGTACTCAAGCTGTACCGGTGATGCTGGCTGTGGAGCTGGTATTGTCCCAACTGTCCTGTCAGCCAGTGACCATCTAACATCTTGATTTAGTATCCTTGACTTGGGGTTTTTTCCCCCTGAAAAGTGCATCTTTGGGTCACTTAACTCTCAAATACATGGATGCTTTCACTTACCTAACACTCACAGACCATTTAAAATGGGGAGACCTAAGTAATTCTGGGCTTTAAACAGGGGTCTTTTCTGAACTCTATTTGTGTGGTGTGGATAGTAAAGAGAAAAGAAATCTCCCCCTCTCTCTCGGCAATGAAACAGCCTGACCCTGAGCTCCTGGGACATCCAGGTACTGAAATCACAGGAAAGTATTTACCCAAGCTGAAAAAGAAGCATGCATAAGCAAATTTGTTAAGCAAAATGCTTTTCATTTAACTTTTAAATTTTACATTAAAAATTTTAAAGATGGAAGTTTATTTATAAAAAGTATATTTGATAAACCCTTTGCTATGTAAAGATCTAGGAGCTATAGGGGTGTCGCTGGTTATGCATTGGGCTGCTAAGTGTAGGGTCAGCGGTTCAAACCTACCAGCCTATCTGCGGGAAAAGATAAGGCAATCCACTACCATGCAGATGCAGTCTCTAAAGGCCGAAGAGCAGTTCTGTAGAGTTGCTCTCGGTTGGAGTTCGCTTGTTAGCAATGAGTTTGATTTGTGATTTTTTTTTAATACAGTTATTGGGGTGGGGAGAATTAGGGAGTAAAATTAATGAGACTTTTTTTCAGAGCCCTGCTCATATTTGCACGGAGTTCAGCATTCCCCTTTTTCCAGTAAGAGAGAAATAAGCTGAGGTCATGAATGTGCTAGACGAACACAAGACAAAAATGAGTGCCAAATAGGGAGAGGAAATTTAAATAATAGACATTTCAATTTAAAGTCTTGAGATAAAAAGACTTATTTTATCTAAAAGGGGAAAAATTTTCTTGTCATTTGAGCCCTGCCACCTGACTGCATAACTTCTGAAGAGTTCCAGGCCTTCTGTAGGATGGAGATACTGTGGTGCCCCTCCCCCCTCAGAAAGGCTGTGTTTTCAATACCACTGGTCACTCCTGTAGAAACCTTTCACTCCCTTTCCAAGGTAGGAAATATTAAGACCTGATTCCCATATTTTGTTAGATTTTTGCCAAACCAAGATGGCTGTGTTTTCAAAATTTATTTGTGCTGTAACAGATGAGAGCGTCCTTCTTTCCTGTGGCTGGATAATTACATTGTGTAGTTCTACCACTGTTTGTTCCTTATCAGTTGAAGGACATATTTCTTAGCTATTATGAATTGTGCTACTAAAACACTTGTGTACAAACGTTTGAACTTTCAGATATTGGAGTGGAATTACTGGGTCATATGGTAACTCCCTGTGTAACCATTTGAGGCACGGCCACAATGTTTGCCATTGGCCATTCCCACTACCAATAGGAAGGGTTCCCATTTCTCCACAGCCTCACCAACATGTGCTCCTTTCTGATTCACATTCTAGTGGGTCTGAAGTGGTATCTCCTTGGGGTTTGGATTTGCATTTCCCTGATAGCTAAAGATAGCTAACATTTTTTCACTTATTTATTGTCCATTTGTAGATTTTCTATGGTGAAATGCCTATTCATATCCTTTGCCCATTTTTTAGTTGAGTTATGTATCTTTTTGTTCTTGTTGCATTCATTCTTTGTATATCGAGATAGGAGT